GGGGAGCTTCACAGAGGGCTCTCGTCACACACTGCTTTAATGTTTAAATGTTTTCCAGTAAAAAGAGCAGAGGAAGCACCGAGTTGAGAGGTTTGGGGCTGGTACATAAGACCCAAAAAAAAAAAAAAAATTATTAAAGAATGAGAGCTACCTGCCGCCTTTCATTACTGAGAAAGCATACATGGAATACTTATTTTAACCAAAAAAGGCTGCATGCAGCCAAAAAATGTTACAGTACTCAGGTTAAAAAAAACAACCCACCCTCCCTAAGACATCACAAGAGGCTGGAGCAAGAACAAGCTGCCAAACCAAGTTCGGTACAAACACTCTGGATGCTCACCAACATTTAAAAATTTGGTGTTTTAACTGAGCTGTTTTTTCCCTTTGATTCATGTCTACAGGATGTTTAAAAGCTTTCCAGTGTTCATTGCAGGGTTCCTCCACTTTCCATTAGTAATGTTTTGAGGCACATATGTATCAGTGGTATACAAGAGAAAGAAAAATATTAATGCCACAAAAGCTAGATAGGAGTGCCAGAAAGCAAGTATTAAATTCTATTAAAAACAAAACAAAAAATATCCAAAACAACAAGACTTTGAGCAAGCAAGACCAAACTCTATGAACACAGTGTCCATATGGATGCTGTGTAGCATGTGTCTACATAATTATCTCTGCAAGGTAGACATCTCCAGTGGGCAAGAAATAAGACATAGTTAACCAGGGAGAAGCAATTTAAAACTTAACAGTTGCATCCATTTTCATAAATGTAGACTGGAAATTCCTGATGAGATGAAATAAAGGTTTAGCTAGGCGTGCCTGACATCGTAAGCATGTTTTTTGATGCTTAAAGAAATGAAGCTTAAAGAAAGTGATTCAGGTCATGGAAACATGAAAACGTTGACTCAGTTATGACCGCAGGCTCATTAATGAGAGGTTCGAGTTAACACTTCTTAGGTACGAGAGCACTACCTGAAATGAACTGGAAAACACACTTTCTGCATCTCCTGTGCCAACAGTTACTGAAATACGCTCCACTACTGTGTCTTCTTCTGGAAAGATTTGACTCCTGAAAAGAAGGAACGTCTTTTTTCCCCACTGCTCTCATTTCCCACTCAAAATATTTTGGACGAAGAACTTGTACCTCCTCCCAACAAAAATGGAAGCAAACTAGGTTTAAACATTTAAAAAGATATAAAGGTTTATTAAATGAATCCAGATTTGACAGGTATTACATAAATTAAACAGCAATAAAATTTTACTAGGGTTTATATACAGATCACAGTGATTTTCATTGTGCAATGAGGGCTGACTTTGTAACTTTGAACAGTACTTATACATGTGAGCTACAACAAGCAACCAGCAACATATAACATTAGTCCAAGTTAACCTGGGAAGCCTAGCAGATCAAACGGATTATGTAGTACATCAACGCCTGCTACCACTAGCACTACTTACTACACAGAGTATTTATAAAGCAGTCAGGTTTGCCATAGAAAAGTGCAAAACATGGGAAGTCTGTACACAGTACAGTACAAAAAGGAATCATGCTACAGTCGCTGAAAGCTGAAAAATAACTCTATAGCATAGGAAGCACTGCATCACATCTCTTCTCAATGGCAAGCAGATGGGCTGAGGACAGCCCTATCTTAAATTGCTTTCAAAACTGCAAAATCCCTGTTCATCCATTTAAACATAGTTGAGTACCTATATTTTGATCAATTAACAATGACTTTTCTACAGTGGAAGATCACATTAGTTAAAGCTCAGCAGCACACATATTCATTGATCAAGCTAATTTACAGGAAAAATCTACAGCATGTTCTCCATTTAAATCATGAAGCATTTTTACCATTTGGTTACAAGGCAATTGTGTTTACAATGCACATTTTTTCACTTAAAATCTCAAATCGGGCAATTAAAAATATATATATATATAAAACTCAAAAATAAAGATTGTTTTTTTAATGTTTAACATTCTTGTTCACCAGAGCAGAAGAAATATGAAAGGCCCGTGGGCTCCTGACAGGAAACAGTCCCTATGCAACAGTCTATATGCAAAAATACATGTTAACAGAAGCAACCATAATAAAATAAACTTCAGAGAATACCTTAAAAAAAATTAAAAAAAGAGAGATCCAGAGTCCTTAGTGCATTTTTGGGAACTCCTTATTTAGCACAGAGGCAGAACTACATTAGTGGTCCATGAAGTTCCAGCAAAGACTTAAAATAAAACTCACTTGTGCAAATAAATAAAATGGGTGGATAATTACAGCTCATTAAGTTCAACATTGTAGAGAAAATAACTGATCATTTAAAATTATGCTTCAAACATTTTTCTGTTAAGGATTTTAATTTAAAAAAATGTGGAGTTTTGTACTAGAAAGCATATTGACGAGGTCAGTAGTTAGGTATATGTAGTCATGGCTGTGGAAACAATGTAAAGTCAGTGGATCAGCATAATTGATAAGATTTTATTTGCTTCTTTAGTCTCTATCATGATGAGTGTCTGTGCATCCACTGCCAGCAATGGATAAGATTCATAAACAGAAAGACAACACACTATCTTCTGTCGTTCAAGCAGTCAAAACTTCTAACCACTAACGTGGCACATTTATTCAAATGTAACTTCATTTATTTAGCTTTGAAGGCTTAAACACGGTTCAGGTTTTAAAAAGAACTTGATATTTAGGATACTTGCTTATTGCAGTATATATATCTTTAAATAAGAAAACTGTTTTTGCAGTACTCGGATTCCATTAAATACTGTAAGCTTACACATTAAAAAGTAGAACTGTATGTGATCCCTTTAGACATTGCAAGTTGCATTTTTGCTTACTTCGGATTTTTTTTCTAGTTGACTTGGAATATTTAAGAATATAAATACAGTGTATCAGACATGTTACAGTAATCATTCCCTATGTGTTTCCTGTACTTTATTATATATTCTTATACAGTTTTCAGGGAGTGGTAGCTCAGCCCATTAAGTTGTGACATTTGCTTAACATTATCAAGATAACTTTTTGATGTTCCAGAAGCTTTGAAACATCATGATTTTGTCACACAAACAGAAACAGAAGTTTCAGTTATGCAAAACCCATTATACAATCTCTTACAAATTTGTACTTTTTCATAGAGATAGATCTAATGGCCTAGAAATTGCAACTCTAAGTACATTTACTGTTGTCCTACACTTTTGTACTAGTTAGAGCTTGGCAACAAGAATGGAGGCACCTTTTCTACCAAGAGACTTCAGTTGTAACTTTGTCAGACGATTACGGACATCATAATTTTATTAGTTATTACCAGAATATCTACTTTTTAGGCATGTTGAATTTAGTTTAGGGAAAAAAAATCTTTGGCCTGGATTTCTTATTGTGTTTTAAAACAACAACAACAAAAGAACAGTCTGTGGAGCTATACAATCTCCTTATATAATTTTGAGCTTTATATAGAGCAATCAAAGAAGGAGTCCAGCAAACTCATGAACTCATGAGCTTTTGAAAGAACACATTAGGGCTAAACGTAACAATTTCACTAAAAGTCATCAAAATCCACAACATCTAAAAGAATGCATTTGTGTTTTGAAATCAAAGCACTTCAAAATCAGTCTCCTATATTAGCATGAGTATCACAATATGAAAGAAACAAACAAAAAAAAACCTGAAATAAATCCTGGTTTGCATACAACCTACCTTCATCTTTATGTATTCATATACATAGATACATACATACACACATAGTGATATTTGGTGCTACTTAAAAGGAAGCAATATTGCAAATATTTCCTAAATACAGTGTACTCAATTTGCTGGAGCCCCACATGGAAAGCTGCTAGTATAGGATCCAAGAGGGGCTCCTTACAACTGAGGTTTCAACTCCGTATATATGAAATTCCTGGCAGCAGAGACTCCAGAACATTTCTAAACGTTGAGCAGCCTAATACATACGCAGTGTCTTCTCCCTGATATTGAGCAGTCAAACATCCAACAACTGCTTCAGGAGGCTGCTATGTCGGGCTCGCATTTTAAATTTGGAGAAGACAGTAAGCTCAGAGAGAACAGCTCCTGTAGGATCTACCCAAGGAACTTACTCGAGCCCTTTCACCAGCATGCAGTGAATTACATGTTTTCAGAGTCTTTACATGAGGAATTTCATTTTAGACAGCACATCATTTCTCAGAATCCTGGTTTGTAAAAAAGACATCATTGTAACAGACCTTCACAGATTAGCCAGTCAGATGTTTCTTAAATCAACAGTAAAATACGTCCTTGTCTTTCTGCTTTCAAGTACTACGGTTGCAAGTGTGAGGCATTGGAAATTTTAGGTACAAATCTTTTTTAAAACTTAATTATTTTTATTTTTTACAAAGAATTATAAAATGTATATAAGATGATGAAAAACTCATTTATCCTTTTAATATTTTTATCCCTAGAGAACTTCTTGAAAAACATTATCTGAAAAATAAAAATCATAGACTCTGCAAAGTACAAAAATTTACATCTTTGCACAGTTCCTGTGCTTTAGTTGTACTGTATTCATTATATACATATATACTAATTTGTGCTTTTAATTACACAAGTTTAGTATAAACTTATAAAATTAAGTCTGAGATAACTGCGCAAAAAGGATCTGGGAATAGCAGGAAACTAAACAAAACCATAAGTTAAAAAAAAAAATCTAAAATATTCCATTTTAGTGAGCCTACTACAGAGCAGGCTATCAATATTATAACTTCCTAAACTAATGCCAAATGTTTACAGCTAAAAATGAGTTTTGTCTGCCTCCAACTCCAAGTATTTAGTATGCATATCTGAATGCAGTAACATTCTCATCCACATCAAAGAAGTCTTCATTTACGTAGGAGCTCATTTTACTTCAGACTTGCTTTAGCACTTCAGTTTCTTTCCAGCTTCTAATACAACAAAGAACACAAAAGCCAATGTAGAGCAGGTAACTTGAACGACAAATATAAGTCAAATTTAAAAAAAGAAATAAAGACAGAATAAAGGGTAGAGAACTATTCTGACGATCTTTTTTTCCTCTAGCTAAAGTTTCGATTCTAAATATAAACATTTTGCAATTAAGACCATTCGCATTTGCTCATCTGTCAAATCAGTTCAGCTCTTCGCTTTTAACACACTACTTAAAAGTTTTAAGGACAGAAAGATTTAAATGCCTGTACATGGAGAGCTCTTGATTCTTGTAGAACAAGAAAAGCCTGGGATATAAATTAATTTTGTCATCCAGTAGACCTAACTTTACGATATTTAACAATATATTATTTCAACCATTTCCTCTACTTTATGCTGTTTTCATACTCTGACCTAATTCACACCGTTTCTAAAAGCTATACTCAAGCACTAACCAGTCTTATCAATCAGAATATGTAATTTCTGCATAAATCTCTGACTCACAGAACTGAAGTGTTATGAAGAGAACTTCTGGCCATACCTCGTCCAGTGTGGATGTCACATTCAGAAATTCTTGAAAATTTCTAAATCTTTAGGGGGTACTGGAGGTGTTTTGTTCCAGTCATCTTCAGGATAAGCTTCAAAATTGGATGTATCCCCATCATTGGATACTTTCGGCACTATAGGAGGCTAGTCAGAACAAACACAACAAAAATATAGTTTCCCCATCAGTCACTTTCCATCATATTATTGAAGAAATCTTGTGAAGAACTTATTATAAGCTGATACATATTTATGAACATTCACAGCTTTCACTGATGATAAAATGCACCAGAGAAGTCTGTAGCCTGAAAGACACTTACAATACAGATATCTATTTTATTTAGTCCTCTTAATTCTAGCTGCTATGCAAATAAGAGATATCTGCAAGAGAATTCATTACAGTTCCAAGCACACTCTGTTATAGCATGGTCTGCCACTTGCTCTCCTTTCTCCCTCCCACCCTCACCTTCAGCCAAAAAGCAAACAGCAAAAAAACGAAGCGCATTAGGCCCCTTGCTCCTAAAGGAAAGTCAGTCCTCTTGGTAGCAGTGTGGGTAAAATCTCTGCAACTAAGTGGGGAGAAACCCACACACCTCTCTCAAACCAACTGTTTTTAGAGGTTGCAATAACCAGCTATTGTGCATGCGTCTCGCTACATTCTAGGCTCTTCCCTAGTCTGGCAACAAATGCAAGCAGGAAAGAAAGTGCTCAAAGGCAAAAATTCTGACTTCACAAGGATGAAAAGAACTTTCAAAAACCTGACATTCAAATGCCACACTTTCACAGTTTCACTTCCAAGGGACTTTAATAAGCATCTTGTGGTATTGGTAGCTTTTGCAAACATCAGACCTCATCT